AGTAAATAAATAAATACATGTGGAAGTCCCATAGATGTCAGTGGGACTTTATCCCAGGAGATGTGCATAAGATTACAGTCTAATAATATAGTACTTGTTTAATTCTTTTTAAAATATTTATCTACTTACTGTTTTAGCTTTTAAATACTGTTTTAGTGATGTAAGCTGCCTTGGGTCCTTTGGGGAAGAAAGGCAGCATAGAAATATTTTAAATAAATAAAATAAATAACTGTCCATCATGTACAGTCAAAGTTCAAGCAACTTTGGACTGATTCAGGCACCTGCCAAGGTAGTGCAGCCTCCCCCTCCCCCCACAAGCTAGCAGAGTTTGACATTAAAAAGACATCCTGTCTAGGGTTGGGGTTGTTTGGTGAACTGTAGTTTCAAAAATAACTTTCCCAGTTTTTTCAAGTCTCTATACCCTCCTCATCGAAGCTACCAACATGAATTTGACCAAACTCCAGGAGGGAGTGGAAGGCGGGAGGGCTTGGCTTGCTCTGGTCCATGGGGTCACGAAGAGTCGGACACGACTTAATGACTAAACAACAGCATACCCTCCAAACTTTACAAATATTAACAACTGCCTTTGAAAAGTACTGTACCTTTCCAAGCCATCTGTGAGGCCACCCTGTGTTTTCACAAAAAACTGCCACTAGATGTCTCCATTGAGCTAAATAATAAATTCTTGCTCTGCCATTTGCTCTTTTATTTAACAACTGATGAGAAAATTCTTACTATTGCTGCATCCTGTGGCAGAAAAGTTTGTTATGTTATTTGCTTCTTTCTTTCTTTCTTTCTTTCTTTCTTTCTTTCTTTCTTTCTTTCTTTCTTTCTTTCTGCAATTTAACTTATTAAAAACCTCCCCAACATCAAGGAAAGCTTTAAAAAAAATCCAAGGTGAAATTGCTATACATGAGTGGGGGGTGTGCTATGAAAAGCAGGAGGAAGAGCAGGAGACCCCTGCCCAGAGCTTGGAAGTACCTAGTTACAAAAAGCCAAACAGTTGTGATGAATTCCTTCTTCTGAACACAAAGGCAGAATCATATGTATTATGATTCTAACTTGGTGGCTTGTGGCACCTTGTGGCACAGTGGTTACTGCTTACAATCTGGGTTCAATTCCAGGTAGCTAGCTCAGGATTCACTCAGCCTTCCATCCATCTAAGGCTGGTAAATTGAGTACAGTACTCAGCTTGCTGGGGGGCGGACAAGGTGTAGCCTGCATAATTACATTGTAAACTGCCTTGATAATGCTTTAAGTGCGATGGGGTGGCATATTAGCACCATGCTTTGCTCTTTGCTTTTGCCAAAATTCTGCTCATCTTCATGTAATGTAAAATTATACATGCATAATCATGCTGGGTGTTACACTCAAGTAGCCCAGACTGCACAACTGCCCATGTGACTTCTGTTTTGCCCATTGATCAGCATACATGCAGAAGCGTTCTGTGAATAACACTACCACTCTGCCATGCTTTCCCCTTAATGTTGCCACAGTGTGATGTGGCACGGGGGGGGGGGGAGCTGTGCAACAGGATTTCAGCCAGTGTAATAACTTCATTCTTTTAACAGTATAACTTTACATTTAACATTATTTGAAAAATTACAGGTTTTTGACCCACTAAGCAGTGAAGGAAGAGTATTCTATGGTTCACATGCTGTGCCTCATGCTTTTTTGTGGGTATTGGGGCACTGATCAGGTGGATGGGCAAAGAGGGTAGCTGAGATTGTAAAGCTCGTTGAAAGCAAACAGATTTACTTCTAAGTCAACGTGTATCAGATTAGACAGCCATCTGAAAAAGGCTTCACATTTTTCACAAAAGCTAATACAGGAGATGGGTAAAGCGGGATAGGTAGACATATCTTCCAGGAGGCTAATTCTGTAATCTCAGGGCTACTCTTGCAAAAGTCCTGCAGTTTGCAGTAGACCTCTCTTGAGTTATCTTCCAGATGTGCATGAGTGTGATGGAGAGGAAGTAGGCCCATGTGTGCAAGCTGAACTGTTCTCGGTTTAAGCTGAACAAGATCAGAGGCGACAGGAAGGATGCTTCTATTCCCTGCTGCTGAGAACAGGGTTTAAAAACATTTCAGCCTCCCAAGAAAGAGAACAAATGGGAGCAGGATCCTTCTAGATCTATAAACTGGCATCATCCAGTGGAGTTGGACTACACTCCCATCATCCCTAAATAGTATGGGGTTGTCTGTGTGATGGGAGTTGTAGTCCACCATTTCTGGAGCACATCAGCTTGGGGAGGATGGTAATGTGTGCTCTAAATAAATGCTAATGGAAACACCCACAAACCCAAACAATTCGCAGACATTTTAGTGTTGTAATGAAGAAAGAGAACAGTTTCTCCTTCTAAAAGAAGCTGTACAGGTAATGTTGCAAATATGAATGCTATTGTAACAAATTGCCCATAAATGGCAAGAGACATTTCAATTCTTTTGTTTTGTTTAGTTGTTAAAGTCACATATTAAGATTTTTTAGGCAGTGATGATATATGAGTACAGTGTTAATGACTTCTTTTAATGAGCTACCTGGATATATGAATCAAGTTAGGTTTTTTTTCTTTAGCTAATTATGAGTCTGACTGCACTGAAAAATCAAACTGAAATAATTCAGCTTTGCTGTGATCTGAATTGCAGCCTGTATTGCATTTGAAATCTCAATCAGTGCTCAGAAAGGGACTGCAGATTGATTCAGGCGTACACTCTTTATACTGGATACGATGTGGGTCACATTCTAGCCCACAACCCCCCTTCTTTCGCACCTCTGCTGATCCTTTTATGGTTCACTGTAAAGCCACTTTCTCATTTCAAGGTTCAGACTGCTACATTTTCCAAAACATTTCTAAAGAAAAACAAAATGGAAAGATACTTAACAGTCTAAGAGTACAGACCATCAAAAGTTTGAAAAGTAAGTTTGCAAAATATATCGTAATCCACATGTCAGAATGATTCCATAACAGAGATCACCATCCCCCCCTTCCCATCTATTACTGTTTTCCTTTGTTTTCAAGAATTACATCATCTTTGATCACATATAGTTTTAAACTTTTGGCATGACTTTTAAAAGTCTACAGTACTTTCAGGCCTCTAAGTAAGGTAATTAACAGCACTATGCCTTTGCTTCACACCAAAAAGCCTTCCCACACGATCTGAATCTTTCTGTGTTTCACAAGATTTAGGACTGGTACCGAATTACCCACATTAAAACTATGTTGCTTTGTGCCTGAACATCACATCCCAACTCCCTATGTCACGGAAACGCCACATATGGACAAACCCCTCCTTCTTTACAAGAATGCGTTACGACTAATCACATGGAAGAAAGCCCATTTGAATATTTCCAACTTGAAAAAGTAGAAGGGCCCCAGCAGCAAAAGAGAAAAAGCTGATTGGGGCTGGACCAGTTCGAATTAGCCTTTTATGTTATGTGATCAGTAGAAAATATTTTGAATTCACCAGTTTTATAAGCAAAGCAGATCCCGTGATATTTGCCCATGTATTTGCACTATAAGAATGTATCACGACTAATATAAAAAAAAGAAAAGAAACAAAATGGAAAAAAGAGACAAAAACTGTGTGGTACCTGTGAAATGGTTGCTGTGGGCACCCCTGGTTGACTGCCACCCCCTATCCAGGCAGGGGGGTCCTCAGGTTTGAAGCACAAGCTGGGCAGGAGTGATTAGCCCTGGAAAGGAGGCCTCTGCAGATGAGAGCCACCTAGTGAAGGGCAAGGGGAATGGAGCTACATGACAGATGAGGGACATAAAAGAGGCTGAGGGAGGACCGGAGCACAGACTCTTGAGCACAGAGGAGGTCTGGATGTACAATAAGGACTGGGACTACATCTATGATGATGATGACCCCTGGATAGGGTCCCTCGGAGACAAGCCAGCTTAGCCTGAGGATGCCCGCACACCCCTCGGCTTCGCACCTCAATGCTGTGTCCATCCTCAGCAGCCTCCACCAGGCCAAGCTGGCCCAACTCCTACCCAAAGGTGATGCTGGAGGTGAGAAAAGTAAAAGGAGTGGTAGCAGCACCTCCCGCTGCAAGAGCAGCAGCCAGTACCTGTCAGACTCAGGCCCTGTCCAGACGGTGGACTTAGAAGCCTCCACCTCTTCCAAGCCCCCACCTTCAGACCACGGTGGAGGCCTCGTCTGAAAGACATCAAGGACGTCAAGGCTCCCCCGTGGCTCAGGCTTCCGAGCAGACTGACTCAGCAGGGGCAAGTGCCATCAGCTTTGCCCTTGAAAAGATCTGCAGGAGTGGCGTGAGCCCCCTGAACCTCTCGTTTCCCCTCCCCCAGTTCCAATGAATCTGTAGCGGAGCATAAGCCCTGGCAGCTGACTTAGGAGATCATTGCTAGTACTGTGACTGTTACTTTGCAATAATTCAATGCAGAACCGTGATGAAATTAAACAGATTATTCCCATTCTCTGCTAAACCATGAAACATCTGAGATGACCTTGAGTCATCCCCTTTGCACAAGTCAGCTCCTAAATGTCTCTTGGCATCTTAAGGTCAACTTTCAAATGTTATTCCCAACTAGAGTAGACCCATTCAACCAATGAAAGTTGTGTAAGTGTTGACTTAGCTCATTCCCATCGATTTAGCGGACCTACTGTATTGGAGGTTAACAACTGGGTTCAGGCCAAACAAATAGCATTATGTACAGTATAAAATATAAACATGCTCAGGGCGGGTGTAGATCTTAATTGAAGCCAACTAAAACATGTTCATCTTTGAATAAGGAGGCGCAACACTCACCCCCAACAGACTAATATAGCTGGGGAAATATGGCATTTAAAATGTCTTCAAACTTAATAAAGCAAGAGAAGCAGTAGCAGTACTTCCCACAAGCAATGGATTACACTAGTTCTGATGTTGCCTGCAAATCTGTAGCAGCCAAACAGTTCAGTTCTGTGTCAGAGAGGTTTGTTTGCCTCCTTTCTCCCCCCCTCTGTGTTTGTGTGTGTGTGTGTGTACATGCGTATGCATAAGACTGGGGAGGGGCATAGCCTCTGGTTAGCCCCTCCTGGGCTGTTGATAACACATGCATGCACTGGACATCCCCCGAAACAGAGGCTAAACACACTTGCTATTTTCTCGCAGAGCTCCCTGCCTTCTTCACTGACAACGGTAAGTGGAAACAAGAGGGAAGATGTTCAGTCTTGGGAATACTTCTGTTAGTTGAGGGATTCTAGCTGTGCAGTCTGCTTTGGTGCTGCAGCAAGGAAAAGAATTGGTTTGTTACTGAATCACCCTTTCAGCGACTTCTTGCCCATATGCATCAGCAGCTTGCCAATGTTGAGTAGCAGTACCAAATTGGAAAGAGCTTTTCGCCCCTCTCCACAATCCCAAGAAGTGTGAAAACAAAGTCTAGAAAACAGAAGAAAGCATTATGACAATGTCTTTGTGGAAGGTGTGTGTGGGGGAGAAGAAGGAAACTATGGTAATAGCAGACAACATGTACAAGGACTGTTGCTGCTGACACTTTTTATTCCTGATCTTTTCAGCAAGAAATCTGCTAGAAAAATCAGGTGGAGCTTGTGTTTCTTAAGAAAAATATGGTTGGGGCATTTCCTCTGATCACATGGGAGGAGAAATGATGTATTGTAGAACACAGACATGGGGTGTCTTAAATACTTTAATTTTAAAAGAAGGAAACAATTTAAAATTCATTTTTAATTTTTCAAATTTTTTATTTTAAAAGAATGACTGTCTTTATGCAAATCAAAAGATGCAACTATTTTATCTGGCTAAGGCTTAGTTAAATGCCACTGGTGTAACAGGTAAGGATATCCTTGGTTGTAATTAATGCAAAGTACCTAGTCTTTGGCTATGCTCTTCAACTCTAAGTACTTGCTTTCTCTAAAGGAGAGGGTGAATTCATCCTGTATGGCCACTGCACCCTGGGAAGGATCATGCATTCATTTAAGAACAGAGCTTGGAAATATTAATTTTGTTTGTTTGTTTGTTTGAGTACAAGAGGAAGAATCTTTCTGTTAAGATGGGTTCCTGGGAAGCAGAATCCCTAGAGTTGATTTCAAAGCTCTGATTAAGAACTTGTGTGTATTATGCATTCAACTCTGAACAGGGCTATTGTGGCCGTAACATGGCCTTCAAAATAAGTAAGATATTTAAGGAGTGCTTTTACCGTCACCCCTTTCCCCTTTAGTTTCCATGACCAAAAGGGGATTCAAACATGGGTCTCTTGAGTCTTTATCTATTAGATCACACTGGCCACCTTGCTGAGGGAGGGTCAACATTTATACAACAAATAACCTGCCATGAAAAGCATAAATGCATCAAGTGTTGATTGTATGTGATTATCACTACAAATCAGCTTACTTTGTTTTGTAATTGATCTTCAGGAAATAAGCATTCTCAGATAGGAAAGACTGCCTTGGTCAGGTCTTTTGAATACTAACATAATTTCATCTCTGTTGATGGGTTATCTGTACATGTATAGCTTAGCCTTCCCTCTGTCCAATGCTGATCTGCTTTTGTCTCCATAGGACTTGGGAAATGTCCAAGGTCTCTTATCTGATGTTCTTGAATGACCCACGCCATCAGTTACACTGACTTCAGGAAATGAGGCTCCCTCAAACCCTTCCACTCACCCTTCTCTTCCTGAGCTGCCTGGAAAGCAGCACTGGCAGGAAAAGCAAAGAAAGTAATGAAAAAGCAAAACTTGCTTCTGCCTGGGCACAATCTGGGCAGTTCTCCACCCGGGACAAACACCTGTGCACTTGGCAGCTGATCACCAAGGAAGCAGCCGCTGAAATAGAGCTTAGCTGCCACCTGCCTGAAGAGGACATCAACCAGGGCCAGCAGTGTGTCTATCGGGGCCAGCCAGAGTTATGCTCTGCCTACAGCTCCAAAGGTCGTCAATTCTGGAAGCAGATCCTGGGCAAGCTACGCAAGAAGCACCACCCCTGCCGGGACAGCAGCCCGCTCAAATCCCGGCTTTGTAGTGGCAAGAAGGGGGGATCTGAAGCACAGCTACACCTGGTCACTGCCACTCCCAGCACAGAAGCCCCAGTGGCTACTGCGAGTCCTGCTAAAGTGAAACCCAAAGGGAAGGCCCAGGCCAAGGACCCACCAGCAGTGGAGAAAGCGGCCAGGGATCAGGTGCTGCCCCATCCAGGAAAGACACATCCTCCAGAGAAGCGGAACAAAGGAGGGAAGAGAAAAGGAAACTCCAGTTCCTCCATGGCCCCAACCCAACCACCAAATTGGCACTCTACAGCAGCCCTGGAAGGCACCGAGCAGCCCACCGAGCTCAATGCTGACGTGGTAGAGGCCTACTGTGAGGAGAAGTGGCATTCACTGTGTAACTTCTTTGTGAATTTCTGGAACGGCTGAACTGGAAACAGGGGAAGAAAGAGGAGCAAACAGAGCTTGGAAAAGTGAACCTTTTTATTTTGGACGACAAGAATACCATGTAGTGGTCATGTACAGTTATGCAAGTAGTAGTTGTCATAGAACCCCAATATAGTAGTCATGTTGCCTGGGGTATTCTGCTAGCTGTAGTCCCAGAAAGTAAGTTTGCGAAGCTGGGGTGCAGGGGAGGGAGGGAAAAGGGAAAGCACTGTATGGTAGAGGCTAGGAAAAGATAGGCCTGGACAGCAAATGGTGCAGGAAAATGAAGGCGGGACTAATGAAGGAGCAGGTGAGAGGCAGGCTTCAGAGTGTCAACAGAACATGAGTAAAGATTTGGGATAGTAAGGGGAATGGTACATCAACAGGGCTTGATGGGACATACAACTTTACTCACTGCTACTAATCCTGCAGCTGCTGCTAATAAAGCCATGAAGGCTGTGGACTAAGTGGCAGAGAGTGGGGGTGGTTTGGAGTTCACACAAAAGCCATACCTTTCCTTCCACGCTAGACAAGCCACAGTCGTAATTAAACTGCTCAGCTGCCTTAGACTTGTCTTCCCCACTGATAATAAAGTAGTGAATCCCCAGTTAATAGAAGATATTTGTGGGTATCATGTCTAAATCACTCGTGAAGTTCTAGCTTCTGTATCTAGAAAATATCTGATTTCCCCTGTGTGATGGTGTAGATGCTACTGGATCTAATCATTCTGCTAATGATAATAATAAACACCATTGTTCTACAGTAACATTATATTGACATTCTATTGTGTCTCTTAAGCATCTTCTGCCTGTCTTGAGCAGTGCCATCTAAATCACTGTTTTTAGCATTATGATTATTTGTTTGTTTGTTTGTTTATGTATTAATTTATTTAGCTTAATTAGTTCCACTTAAGGTAGGGTGGAACTCCAGACTACATGCCGGGCTTTTCAGAGAGTTCTCTCATTCAGACACTGAACAAGCACAAGACCTTCTTAGCTTCAACAATATAACTGTATTCTACCCCCTGAGATGATGATGATGATGATGCCCAGAGAACTGTTAAGTAAACAGTCACTCCCATTTTAGGCAGTGTGGGGTCAGGGCTTCAAACAGTAGATTCAGGGACTGTTATTGATTTGTTACTGCATGTTTACTGCTTGAGAGAGGAAAGGATCCCTGAGAAGATTTCTTGAGGAAGACGTCCTTGTCTGCTTTATAGCTGGTACATCCTTCCATGCTAATGAATCTACCCTTTGATAGAAACTTGACTTAGTTTATGTGCCAGCCTATTGTCAGCTGTCTGAAAGCACTAAAGAGTCAGCATTTATGAGCCCATAGAAGTGTCACCATAAGCTATTGCCTTCTTGGTCCCGCGTCATTTGCACATTGTGAAGCATTTGAGAAACACTGAAGGAGACCTTCTTTCCCCAGGTTCAGCTTGTTCCTTTTCCATTATCAAGCAAATTAATCAAAATGTTCTCAGAGTACACAAATGGAATTAGAGCTATTGCAGCTTTAGAGTCATGACTGCAGTTTTACCTGCAGTCTCTTCTAACTCCTGTATGGACCTTTGCTCTTTTACATTCAATGTCTCACTGCACTTCTATACCACAGTATTGATCATTCAGTTATTTCAAATATGTGATGGACAGCCCTTCTCAGTTTGTCCAAAGAATATCAGTCTACCTAAATATAATTACCAACAATTATATTTAAAATCTTGTCTTCTGCCCAGTGGCTTACTCTAAAAGCTTGCCCAGTGTTTCCTTTCATTAATAAATTATAGGGTCAAGCTGTACATGAAGACCATGGATAAGGGACTGTGATGGATCAGGGCCCTAATTTTGTCTCTTATGAGCCATATCCACCCCGTCTGCCATGGGCACACCTACACAATTCAGCAGTAAACAATACAGCAAATACCCACCAAAAGCTTGAATTTAAATTGAGTTTTCCTTGGCTACCCAGAAAAATCAGATGTACAAATCACCACCACATTTTAGTGGAACGGTTTTCAGGGATGGCAAAAGGGCTCTCTCTGTATGTGTGCACGTGTGTGCGCGTGTGTGTGCGTCTTGGATGTCTCTGTGTTTCCTACCTGGCTATAGGAAAACCCAGAGATGTAACTAGGCAAGTGGGACCACCTCCATGTATGTGATTTCCTCTGAAAAGAACATGTATGCTTTAAAAAGAGTGAATAGCGCCAGGAGGTGTTGCTATTTCTTCTCCTAACACTGGCCAGTAGATTGATTGACCTTTACATTTCAGTGCCTTCTAAATTTTGGTGCCCTAGGGCAGAGCCACAGGTGCTCCATCCTAATTACAGTCTTGGATAAGTCATGTGAGACAACATAGTTGACGCTGCAAACGGGGAACACATAGCTGAATATTCTTCTATTTTGAAACACTCTGACTTTATGAGGGTTAAAGAGAATGCCATGTACATACCAGTTGTTGGGTATTTTTTTCTTTTTAATTAAGGGGACACCAATTAATCTATCACAGAGTGTGACTGCATTAACCCTTTTGGTGAGGGATGATGTAGTCTAAATAGAATTTTTTGTATACTTGGAATGGGGGAGGACCAATATGACATTTGGCACGATGCTAGTGTCCAAATGACATATCAACCTCAAATGTCCCTCTGACTCCTTCCTCTGTCAATTGAAGACTTCCCCTGCTCCTCCGCTAGATTATTTTTGTCTGTTCTAGATCACCCTTAATCACTTAGATTAAATTTAGGAGTTTTTTATTTGCCTTGTGTTTAGCGCTGATTGAGAAACTGCTCATAGCCACAGTTTCGACTGGTACTTCACACAAAGACAAAGGAAAAAAAATAATCTACTGTAAATGATTCAGCATGACATCAGTGATCTAGCAAAGTCAAAATAAATAATTGATCCACCCTAGCAATTACGGTATGTAATGTGGTCACCAAAAAAAAGAGCAAAACAATCCCCCCCACACACACACACCAAACAGAGGGACAAATGCCTGTCTGAACGAGCCCTTAGTACGATGACTTGGAGAAGGCACTGCATAATAAACCTCTGAAAGGAGACCTGTATTTGACTTCTGGTGCTTCAAGAATGGCTATAAAAACTTCGAGGAGCATATAATATTATGGAAGGCAAATTTTGTTTTCTGAATAAAAGAATTAGCCATAACTAAGGTAAATTTAGCTGACATGGATATCACTGACAGGACTTTTTAGGCCATTTTTAAAGTGATGTGTAAAGCGAGAGAGGTCTACTTGTAATTTTTTTCCTATTCTCCGTCTCTTATTCTTTCTGTATCATGTCCTCTAAATCCTAGGTTCCCAACCTTTGTTACTTGGATGTTTTTGAACTGCAACTCCCAGAAACCCCAGCCAGCACAGTTGGTGGTGAAGGCTTCTGGGAGTTGCAGTCCACAACTCCTGAGTAAGCCAAGGTTGAGAACCAGTGCTGATAAATCTGTGGACAAGTATTTTCTTGTATTAATAAGATGTAAGCTACTCCAAGACCCTATTTGAGTAAGAGGCTCAAAGCATTTTGAATAAATAGAGTAAATAAATATTAGCAAGTAGCTTTGGAGAAACCAGAGGGCAAATTGCATAAGGAGAATGATTGTGCTTGGTCTTTCTGACGCAATTCAAGTATTTTCTACTGAGAGCTCCAAGAGGGGAAAAACATGGCATAAGGATTTCACTGGGTGTCTGCTGCATGAAGGATTTGGCCCTCTGTTTTCCCCACTAATGCAGAGTTTTTTTTTGTACTAGTAACAAATCTAAACACTGAGCATGTATTAATGCAGAAGAATTAAGGAACTAGCAGCTTTGCAGGATTATATGAAACAGATGTTACTTCCCAGTTCTGCTAATGGCTGGCTAGGCTGTATCATGTGGGAAACCAAAGAAATGCTTGAAATAACTAGAGAATCGGAGACTTGATGAGGAAATTGCAGTGGCCCTGAAATGCATAAGACAATGTAAATGAGGGCTGGAAGCTGTTGCTAGGCAACACAAGACCTCTACATGAATAGCGAAGGAAACTCGGGAAGCTCGGCCTGCTTCGAGTTTGACGGTTGCAAACCCCAGAGATAGGTGGTCACATGACCCTGTTTAGGCAACAGCTCCCAAAAACTTTGATCTGTTTGTTCCTTTGTTCTTCTGTGAGCACAATGGAAATTGATTGGTCCCAAGGCCCCACAGTGATTGCTTTGGCACCAAAATGCTCTAACCCCGAACCAGTGTGTGCTTTTTATTTTTTTAAAGGGCATAATTGCTGAAGCAAGGGTGAAAAAAAAGGAAAGAGGGTGCTACTGATGGAACAAAATGTGCTCCTCAGTCTGGACATGTAATTTTCCTGTAAGTGCTTCAGGATGTTAAAATGTTTTGTCTGTCTTCTTAGGCTGGATGTAGGTAATTTTGAGCTCTGACCCTGAATGACATTTACTTGGACGTCACTTCCATCCGCCCTCCTCTACATACCCCCCAATATGCTTATGTCAACTGTTGTATCTTTTCCTGAGCATATTGCTTGAAAGCAAGTTTGGTTTTTATACATAAAGGAAGGAAACCTATCACCTACCACCCAAAGGGAAACTGCACCAAGCACTAATACATTCAGTTTGGCCCCAGGTGAGTCTCTGACAGAGCACCACCCAATAAATCTGTACATCCTTGAGCCCCGCCAAATGTTGGAACTGCATTCGTTGCTCTGCTGGTCAAGGCTGATGGGGAGTTCACACCCATACTACTTGGAGAACAGCACCTTTTTCTCTCTCACTCCCAACATATGACAAGAGACAGATCTCTGCGCTACAAGGACTCTTGTGTTTACAGAGATGGGAACCCACCATTTTCTCTCCACATCAGAGGCACTGCTAAGTACTTGAAAACCTAGCAGTGACCCATCAAGTCTGCATTCTCCATCTTGGGACTTAGTTTAACTGCAGGCTTTCTGTCTTAGGTCTGTCCAAATATTTGGACTTTCTTGTGGGTATACCTTTTTTCTGTTACAGGCATAACGAGAGGATAGAGGGGAACTTCAGAGTGTGTTGTGGGTTTTTTAAACTTCTTTTCATAGAAATTACCTTTCAGATGGCTTCCCCTCTCTGATCATTTAAAAGTGGCCAACAAACAAACAAACAAAAACAAAATCTTCTTGATGTCATCAGGATTCTTCCCTCCCCCTTTTCGTGGCTCATTGCCATGTAATGGAAGGGCCATTTTGTAGGGACACAGCTGGACAGTGGTGGAATACCCTTTCTCTTCCTGCATGCTTCGTTCTCCTTAAAATGTCACTCCCCCTATGACTTCAAGAATGAAAGAAAACAAAGACAGATCTGCACAATGTGTAGAAAGTCTGACCCACACCTTGGTCTTGAGTGAAATCTCCAAGCAAAGAATGGACAGGTCTTCCTGCTAGCACAGAATTGTGAAGGTGTGAATTGAGTTGGCTCCACTTCACACTATAGCAGTTGGGATGTATCTTCCAAATCTAATAAGACAGCCAGTTGTAGAACAATTGTGTGCAAACAAGTCTATCCTGTGCTGCCAGGTGACCTCTGGCTGCTATATTCCTTAGCTTCCTCACTTCTTCAGCTTTCCATCTTCTGAGATTGGTAAACTGAGTTCCTGGCTTGGGGTGGGGGGAATGTGTAGCCTGCATAATTAAATTGTAAACTGCCTGGATAACACTTTAAGCGCTATGACACAGTATGTACTGTAAGCAACACACACGTCTAGTAAGTAGTTATACATCTATTTATGCACCTGGTCAC